GCCCTGCTGCTGTCGGCCGTGAAGGATCCGATCCGGCCGGTCTGTCTGCCTGGCTGGGCTGTGCTCTGCAGGGCACACTGCAGCATCACGTGCTGCTTCCACAGCTCAGCTGCTGGGCTGGTTTGTGTTTGCTGAGCACCTTCCGTCCCTGAGATGCTATAGCACTGCTGCTCCACCTGGGAGCCTCTGGGTGCAGCTGCCTCCTTGCACCTTGCCCGAGCACAGAGGCTGTGGGAGGGGGCTGCCTCCTGGCACCAGAGCCCCCTGGCCCCATAGGAATGTGAGCACACAGCCTGCTTTCCCATGGCTGCCGGCACAGACCCCTCTTTGTGCTGAGCGGGGTGAGGGCGGGCTTGGCTCCGTCCCTCGGCGCTGTCGGCATGCCAAGCCCAGTGCTGCCATGAGCGTGTGCTGGGATGTCAGCATGGGTGACTGGCACCGTTTTGCCACCTTCGCCCCCTGCCCTGCTGCTTCTGCAGTGTGTGAGATCTGTTTGAATTAATTCTTCCAGCTGTAAGTAGGTGTGCGGCTCCCAGCCAGCCGGCGCTGTGGTGCATGAGGCTGCAGAGCTTGTGGCCGCTGTAGCTGCAGGATGTCAGGCCCTGAAATGAAGGCTGCCGTGCAGGAGCGCAGCCAGGCTGTGGGGCTTTCTGCCCTTGCAGAGCCGGGTCTGGGCTCGTTACCTCCAAGTGACGCAGGCTGCCCTGCTCCGCGGGTGCCAGGGCGCGTTCCAGGTCAGGGCTCGCTGCCCGCTTTGCTTTGCTCTAAAGTGCTGTCGTGGAGGCGCTCTGGTCCTTGTCTGACCTACTTACTTACATCTGGCTGCTTGGAAGGAAGGCAGATTTGCTCTGCCAAAGAAGTAGCTTTCTGCTGGGAAGCAAAGGTGGGAGGAGGGAGCCGGGGGGGGGGAAGTGCCCTCAGAGCGGGGGGCTGAGCGTGTTGGGTTTCTGCCGTCTGCCAGGGCAGTGCTGGAATGAGCACAGCTCCCCAGGCTCACTGCTCCAGTGTTACCGGCTTGGCTTGAATGCGCATTGGTCTTTCCCTGAGCTGGAACAGCAGCTCATGGGCATTGCAGTGCCGACAGCAGAGACTCCTGAGCCCTGCAGCTCTGTGCCCTGTGCGGCACCGTGCTCTGCACTGTTCTGCTTCCCACGGCCCCTTCCTGCTCCCCTTTCTTGCTTCCTTTCTCCCAAGCTTGTTGTCAGGACACCTGGAGATACCTGCAACACCGGCCGGACCAGCCAGGGATGTGGCACCTGGGCAGAGATACTTGTGGGGCAAGGAGTGACGCTGCTGGGTGCGCGGAGGCTCGTGCTCCACTTTGCTTTCCCACTGTGAGGTGAGCTGACAGCCGTGGGGCCGCTCAGGAGCCACAAGATCCCGAGCCGTGGGGCAGCTGCGTGCTCACCAGCAGTGCTGGCACGCAGGGACCGTGCGGCCGTGTCTCAGAGTCTGTCTGTCACCCTGCATTAGTAGGTCACAGCTCAGAGCGAGGCCTCCTTCCCCTCTGTGCTGGCCGTGCACTCAGAGCTGTTCTTGGCACCTGCTGACCTGGCACTGCAGGGTGCTCACTCTGACAGCCCTTGGCTCGCTTTCCCCCTGCAGCTCGGTGCCCTGCACCACAGAACAGCTGCTCAGCACCCCAGTGTGTGCCCAGGCCCGGAGATTTTCACCTCATGTGAGGGAGCTTCGCTGGGCTGCGTTGGTGCACGTGTGGCTGTTGTGCAGTGGGAGCACCCTGCTGACGTGTGCCATTAATGAGGCCTGTTTGTAAGGTGTCTGCAGCTTTAGGGTCTTGCTCAAGCATCAAGCACGCGTGTGTGCCACAGAATAACATTTTAGTGCTGGGTTTTCTATGGTGGCTTGTGCATTTTTCCCTAATTTGTCTCCCTGCTAATGGGAAAGGTGCATTTCTTTAGGCGGTTTTGCTCTGCGGAAGCAATCAGCACTGACTTCCGAGCAGCTGCTTCCTCGCCATGAGATCAGCATGGCTTGGGGTGGTTGGTTGGGAGTCCACGGGGCCTTGAGGGCCGTGTCACAGCAGGGCTGGAGCTCAGGATGTGCCAGATAACCTGGATGCTTCCAGTGGGGCCTGCCCCATCCATGCCCTGAGCCCAGTCTTGTTTCCCCAGTGGGTGCCATGGCTGCTGTCGGTGTTACTGGGGGCGTTGAGCTGGAGGTGCTGTTCTGCACAGAACTGCATGCAGTGGCGGTGGGAAAGGCTGCGGGTTCAGACGACGTTCCTTTGCTGGTGCTGCTTCACCTGCAGCCTGGCTGAGCCTGAAGACAGGCAGTGATGCTTTGCTGCGGTGCGTGGCAGCCGACGTGTGCAACACACGAGTTGCTGCGTGGGGACAGCAGGGCCCCTCTGCTCCCATCCTGCGTGGAGCCTCACGTTGTCCTCGAGGAGCCCCTGTTGCTCCGCTCTCGGTGTGGGAAGGTGCGTGTTTGGCAGCTGCTACAAAGCGCTTCTGTCCGCCCTGCAGCGCATTGTTCTCCGGGGCTGCACACATTATTCTCGGCCGCGGGTCGCCCTCGAAGCCGTCGGGAAGTCCTCACGTCTCCCTCAGCTTCCTCCCGCCGGAGCAATCGAGGATGATGGTCAGAGCACGAGGGTCTGAGCAGTGCTGCCCGGTGCCACGTGTGCCACCTTTCCCTCCCCACCTTCCTCTCCAAAGCCGGCATCCACAGCGGGAGCAGCAGGGAAGTTCTGGCCCCGTGGGAAGGGCCTTTCCTGCTCCGTCCTTTGCCGCAGCCTAATGGCAGGACGTGAGTCCTCGCCGCTGATTAAACGTTTCCTCTGCCAAATGAAGTGAGCTCTGCAGAGAGCTGTGAGCGGATCGTGCAGCTCGGGGACCTGGCGGAGCTGGGGCTGCGCGAGGTGCTGCAGTCGGTCCCCGGGGCGTTAGGAACTTTTTGTTCAGGGTTTTGTTCAGAGCTCATTGTCAGTGACCGTGGGTTGTGAATAATTCACAGCGAGCCTCTGAGTCCCGCGGGGTCGGAGTGTGGCTGCCTGTCTGCACGCAGAGATGCGCCGGCTCTCCGAACCGCTCCAAATTGAGGTGGCAGCTCTTGCTCTGAAAGCATGCTGATACGATTTTAAAAGCCTGAGTGACCTTAAATCCTGTGATGGCTGTCTTTCGGGATAAATTATTTATGTCACATCTTCAGGGCCGCCCGAGCCCTCGCTCGGAATGGGCAGAAATGTCAGGGCCTGAGCCTGGGAGGGCTGCGCTGGGGTTGGGGAGGTTTGGATGGGAAGAAGGGACAGGAAAAGGAGCGCTGGGAGGCGGGGGTGGCGGGCAGGGAGCGACCGGGGCGGCCTGGGGAGGCCTCCCAAACCGGTGCAGCTGCATTCTGCAGCCGACATCAGAGGGTTGGAAATTCCTCTTGATCTGCAGTTCAAAGCCGCTGCCTCCCTGAGGATGGAGCTTCGTCTGGGCTTTGCAAATGCAGGCTGGCCGCGGAAGCAGCGCGGCTGTGGAACAGAAATCTGCCGCAGCGCCCAAATCCCCTGAAAAGCGCGGAAACGGCGTCTGAAGGTCACTGCTAAAAAAAGCCCTCGGCCCGCCGTGAGCAGCAGCAGAATCCAGGGCTGCTGTCGGGAGAAGGCACCGCGCTTCCCCTCGGCGCTGGGGCCCTGCAGGACACATCTCAGGTCCTGCGTCCCCACGGGGCCGGGCTGCGCGGGGGAACGCCGGGCTTTGGTGGCACTTGGAGCCCCAAAGGCAGCAGGGGGTTCTGCTGGGGGCTGTGGCAGCAGAGCCGCCCCCCGGCCGGTGCTGAGCAGTGCTGTGCAGGGCCACCGCGGCTGCAGGAGCTCCTCTGGAGCGAGGACTTCTCACACCTCGCCTTCCTCCCGGTGTTCTCACAGCTCCGTGGTTCTCGTTTGCATTTTGAAGGAGAGCCGAAGCTCCGATCCACCCCTCCTGGCTCAGAGAGGAGCTGGCTGTGCTTTGATCTCACGGCTGCCTTTCACGCTGCCCTGATTCACGTCTTCCAAATCGCTTTCCCTGCGAGCTCAGCTAGCTGCTGCTGCGGCATATGGAGCTCAGCAGAGCTGGGGGAAAGGAGCCGCGGTGCCGAGGAACAAAGGGGAGAAATGCAGAGCAGCCGCTGTCTGAGCGGCATTGTTTCAAAGCGCCCGGTTTCCGTAAGGCATACGTGAGACACGAAGGGGTGCTGAGCGGTGCTGGGAGAACCCTGTGGGGCTTTTTCACCCTTGGAGGCTTTAGCTTGTGTCTCCCTGTCTTTATCAGCCGTGTGTGTGTTCAGGAACATTAAAGATCGAGGCTTTGCTGGAGGCAGGCAGCGATCGCCCTGCGCTCCCACCCCAGGTCTCGGTGTTTCTCAGTTTGAAGTGGTGGGCACTGCTGTGTGCTGCATTCGGTGCCTCTGGATTTTTGTTCTCAATGTGACCTCTGCTGCTGATCCACAACGTGAGCAGCGCCGTGTGCTGCAATGAAATGACCTGTTTCTGGGGAATTCGGCTCCACTTTATCCTCAAGCTGCTTTAGCTTAAACTCCTTTCTCGCACTTCTAGGTCAGAGCCTTCATCTGGATGCGGCGTTCAGCGTGGCAGCAGTTGAGGGCCGCGTGAGATAAGGCAGATAATGACTCATGGTTTTCTTTGTAGAAGCGCCCCTCTCCTCAGCTGTGACCACAGGAGGTGACTCTGCTGTGGGACTTTTCCCCACCCATGTGGGCAGATGGGCTCCGCGTCCCAGCGGCTCCCTGGTGGGTGGCGTGTGCCAGGTCTCACCTGCTGGGTCAGAGCCAGGCGTGCAGCGGGCAGCACGAGGCCCTGTGGTGTGAGAGATGAGGGCTGGAGCCGTGGGCCGGCCAGCGGTGCTGCACAAGTGCCAGCAGGGAAGTGCTTCCCTCTGTCTCCCGATGTTTTCTTGCAAGGCCGCTCGCTGTTGAGGAGCTTCTCGCCCAGCAGAAGAGCTGTTTTTAATTGCAGGTGATTTATGTATTTATTTTCTCACGCTGCAGAGCTCTGGCTGTTGGCCGGAGGGCAGAGGGAGCTGCTGGCGTAGCCGTGGGGCTGCAGGGATGTGTTGTCCCTGCGCTCTGCACTGATACGGAGATGTGGCCTGAAGACGGACCTGATTGTATTTTAGGTTCTGTGTACTGCAGCAGTAGTAAATTGTAGCTTATTGTAGATGAGAAGGAGTCTGTAAAAGAAATTCACTCGTGTAAAAATGTTGGTGGCTGCTGTGCTCTCGTGGCCTGGGGATGTGGGATCAGGAGGCAAAAGGTGTGGGTGCAAACCTTCTGTGCTCCTGCTTGGTGTCATGGGCTTCCCTGAGGCTGGAGCTGCTGTTCTGGAGAGGGACACCTGAACGTCCTGGGGTGCACACGGGCCTCCCATCCCTGCATTCCTATTCCCTGAGCTGCCAGGGTGGCACAACCCACGGTGCTGCTGTCAGAGGCACGAGCTCAGCCTGCACCTCCTGGTGATTCAGGCTCCTTCCTGTCCCTGCTCTGAGTCCAACCCAGACTTGTGAGCTGCGCTGCTGAGAGCTGCTCGGGCTGAGCTGCGGAGGGGCTGGCTGTGTTTGGGAATCAGGTGGGTTCCAATGCCATCAGATCTGCGCTGGGAATGCTCGTGTGGCCGCTGGCTCACGCAGACACCTTGGAGGGCATCTGTGGGGTGGTTACAGTGGGGTTGGACACAGTATCTGTATGCTGGCTGCCAGCTGAGCACGGCACAACAGCAGTGGGTGGGAACGCGATGGAGCAGGAGCCCCGGGTCCTCTGTGTGGCTGCAGCCCCAGGTGCGAGGTGCTTCTCTTCCTTCCCCTCAGTCCTGACTGCTTCTTCCCTTCGCACAGGCATGAATGACCAGGCTCATCCCCAGCACTGAGCAGCCGCAGCCGGGTCGCCATGCCGATCCCACCCCCGCCGCCGCCGCCCCCCGGCCCCCCGCCGCCCCCCACCTTCAGTCAGGTAAGGGCTTCCCTCAGTGTGCTGCCATCCATCCGTGTTACCCAAACCAGCCTGGCTGTGCACCGGGCTGGACTTGCTGTGCATGCAGGTGTGAGCTGCTGCTAAGAGGCTTCTCATTTACAGGCGAACACAGAACCACCAAAATTGAGCCGAGAGGAGCAGCGCGGCCGTGGAGCCCTCCTGCAGGACATCTGTAAAGGGACCAAGCTAAAGAAGGTGACACAAATCAATGACCGGAGCGCCCCCATCCTAGAGAGTGAGTACCCCCCTGTTGTACCCCACACTGGGTGCTGCTCTGCACTTCAGGGTGGGCTCTGAGCCCTCAGCTGTGTTCTCACCAGTGGCTCCTGGTTGGAGGAGCCGATTGCACCAAGTACAACCTCTGTGCCTCCATCCTTCCAGAGCCCAAGGGCAGCGGTGGCAGCAGCTACGGCTCCAGCTCAGCTGCGATCCAGCCCAAAGGCGGCCTCTTCCAAGGCGGTGTGCCCAAGCTCAGACCTGTGGGAGCAAAGGACGGCTCAGGTAAAGGCCCTCAAGACGTGGTTAGTGAAGGAAGGTTCCCCAGCAGGAAAGGGTTGAGGATCCGCCGCGTTTGCGTGGGACATTCAGCCGTTAGCAGCAGGGACCCCAAACTGCCACCCACGTGTGGCCGCAGACAAGCGCCGTCCTCCACGCTTTGGCGTCCCCAGCGCACCGCCCTCCTCACAGCGCTGCTGAACGCTTCTCACTGCTATTTTCTGTGGCAGCCTGCCTTCCAGCAAGGCGGCAGGCGGTGAGAGAGGAGCTGCGTGTGGCTGTGTGCGGTGCCAGCTCCCTGCCGGTGCCAGACAGCGCTCCCCGCGGTCTGGCCCTCGCCGCAGGGCGGGCAGGCTGCCCCGAGCAGAGGCTGCGCCGTCCCTTGCTGTGCCTGGTGGCTCACTGCGCTTTCCCTCCCCGCAGACGGATCCGGGAAGCAAACCCTGCAAGTCCCCGGCTCCAGAGCCGCTGCCCCCAGGCCCCCGGTGCCGGCCAGCAACAGCCGACCTCAGGATGATTCTGACAACAGCCGAGCCTCTCCGCCGGAGCTGCCGCGCACGCAGCGGCCGTCCCTTCCGGACCTCTCCCGGCCCGGCGCCGCCGGTGGCACCGGCATGAAGCACAGCTCGTCTGCGCCGCCGCCTCCCCCCCCGGGCCGCCGTGCCGCCGCGCCGCCCGCCCCCCCGCCTGCACACGGCCCCAAGGTCTCCTCCTACAACCGGGAGAAGCCCCTGCCGCCCACCCCGGGACAGCGAGCGCCTGCTGGCAGGGACGGACCCCCCGCCCCCCCACCCGTCAAGCCCCCGCCCTCCCCAGTCAGTCTCCGAACGGGGTCGGGGGCTCAGAGCCAGTCCCTCGCCCCCCCTCCACCCCCTTACCGGCAGCCCCCCGGCGTCCCCAACGGCCCTTCCAGCCCCATCACCGAAGCTGCCCCGGAGCTGCCGCAGAGGCACAACTCCCTGCACAGGAAGACGCCGGGCCCCTTGCGGGGTCTCGCGCCGCCGCCGCCCGCCTCGGCCTCCCCGTCCCTCCAGAGCAGCCGCCCCCCGCCGCCAGCCCGGGACCCCCCCAGCCGTGGTGCAGGTGAGAACTCTGCTCTTCTGGGTGGTGGCTGGGCTGTTTGTGGCTGATGGGAGATGCCCAGGGAGCCGTTGGAGCTGGGAAGCAGTGAGGTGGTTCTTCCTGCACGGGGCAGTCGGCGTTGACATTGACCCAGGGGTGGCTTCTGGCTCGTCTCGTTCTGTTGACAGCCCTGGTTGTGTCTGGCTCTTTCTGTCTGTCGTTGGCAGTAGGTTGTGGCTGTGCAGCTCAAGCACAAGTGGCCACCGTGTCCTCCTGGGGTGGGAGAAGAGCGTGCTGGAACTGCACATGGTGGCTTCTCCCCTGTGCTTCCTAAATGTCGCTGGGGCAGTGACAAAAAGCTGCAGCAGAGCCTCAGGAATGCTCCAGCCCCGCTCTGTGTGCTGGATTTGGCACTGCGAGGTTCAGACACCCTGATGCAGTCCTGGTGACTCGTATATACGCACCAGGGGCGCTGTGGCCCCTCCCAAGAGGTGACTGTGGAGTCCCCTCCTTGTCCCACTGCTGGGAGAAGGGACAGCGTTGTCCCGGTGCCCCCGCCTGCTGCTGGGCTCCCTGTCCAGCCCGCAGCTCCAGCCTGGGTCCCTGCCAAGCCGCCGTACTTCAGGCTCTGCCAGAATCCTCTGCTGAGTTACGGCTGGCGGTCCGCTGCCTTAGTCTGTGTGTAATTAGCCTAACGAGGAGCACGACCTGCCGCCGTACTTCGGTGGGAACGAGGGGGCAGTCAGCAGGGCCGCTCTTTTGGTAGCCCCTGGGTCTGCTTGGCCTCTGGGCTGAGGGGCAGGGCTGGGGGCTCTGCCCGCCTGGCCCTGTTCTCCTCCACCCCTGGGGCTGGCGGGCAGGATGTCCCTGACCCCGCTGCCGGGCCGGGGGTGTCGCTGTGGGTCCCCTTGTCCCACTGTGCAGATGCTGACCTCGCTCTCCTTGCAGCCCCGCCACCCCCGCCGCCCATGCTGCGAAATGGGGGGCGTGATGCCCCCCCACCCCCACCCCCCTACAGACTGCATGGTTCTACTGAGCCCCCCCAGCCGCGGGAAGCCACCCCCACCGCCCACCCGGACGCCTGCCGGGCCGCCCCCACCCCCACCGCCGGTGAGGAACGGGCACCGGGACTCCATCGCCACTGTCAGAGCGTTCCTGGGTGAGTGGGGCTGTGTGCTGGGGAGGGATGGGGGCAGCCCTGGGGGCCGAGTCCTTCGGCCTTGGCTCCCATCCGCAGCCCGCTCCTGACCTGCCCAGTTCTTGTTTTTCTCCCCTTTTTTCTGTAGATGACTTTGAATCCAAATATTCGTTTCACCCCGTCGAAGACTTTCCAGCCCCAGAAGAATATAAATACTTCCAGAGAATCTACCCCAGCAAAACCAACAGAGGTAAGGGCGGAGCATCCCGTGGTCCCTGCTGTGCCCTGCCGTGCTCCAGAGGCAGGAGGTGGCAGCAGAGCCACCCGCTGTCCTGGTCACGCTCCCAGCCAGGCAGTGTGCCCGGGTGCTGCGGCTTCCCTGGGCTCCATGTTTGCTCCTGGGGACACCGCGTGTGCTGGCGGCAGGCCGTGCTCCTGTGCTGAGGGCGTTTGGTGCTGGAGTGGCCCTGCAGGATGCGCTCTGTGAAGCGCTGATGTGGGGCAGATGGGTTTGGGAGCCCCCCCGGCGCTGCCTGTGTCCCCGTTACCCCTCTTGGATGCGGCACATCCTGCATGGAGCGCCCTTGCCGTGCTGCTGCAGTGTGCCAGCCCTGCGGATCCCGGGGGGGACTCTGGGGAGAGCGGGATGCTCGGTTATTTTTAGAGCCATGAATGTTTAATGTGGATTTGAAAGGCCCCGAGCCTTCTGTGCGTGCCGCAGCGGCTGCTGCTCACATCACAGCTCTGGAGTGGCGCGAAGGGGGGGGTGCGGGGGGAGGCCTGGTTTCACCGTGCTTTCTCCTTGCAGCCACGCGTGGGGCCCCTCCTCTGCCCCCCATCCCCAGGTGAAAGCGAGCTGTGCCGGCGGTCGGTCCTGAGCACAGCCGCAGAGCTGCTCCCCCTTCTTCAGACGGACCCTCGCCACCTCCCTGCCCCCAGGAACCTGCATGAGAAACTCCCGGCGCCTTCGGCTCTCCCAGGACGAGCGGACGCCCCCGGCCCACGCTCACCACAAACCCACGCGGCTCTTTGCCCCGCGGCCCCACGTCGGAACCCGCGCTCCAGGCAGCGGGCGGGGCCGGGGGCGGGCAGTGCACCGCCGGGGACGGACACGGGCGAGGGCCGCGCCGGGGGTCCTCGTGGGCTCAGAGCAGAGCGGGGCTGTGGTGGCCGTGGGACGGGGCCGGCGGAGCCCTCCGCCCCGGTACTGCGATTTCGTAGAGCTGCTGGGAGCGGGGCCGCGCCTCCACGGTGGCTCCAGGGAGGCCGTGCGGCTCCGTGCTAACGCCGCGGGACCAAAAGGAAGCGGCAGCTGATGGACGTGGGCCATTTGCGGGGCTCTGCGGCCGGGGGTCGGGGGGCTGTTACGGGGGGGGGTCGGGGCTGCGAGCCGTTATGCCTTACGCGGGCTGCTGGCTCCGCGCAGCGGGCTCCCGTTAACCATCGTTACTGATCAGTTTTGTACCGTAGGAGGCGGGGGCTGCGGCGGGGTAAACTAAACCCTCACCTTTAACCGTTCTTCGTTCGTTCGTTTGTTTTCTACGGCGCTGGAACCTTCCCCAGGAGGGAGCGAGGCCCCGCGCGGGGGGGGGGGCACCGTTTGGTTTAAATAAAGGCAGAAAAGCCCTCCGCGAGCGGGCGGCTCAGCCCCTGCGGGGGGAACGGCGGGGGGAGGGACTGGAAAGGGAGAGGGAAAAGCCGTGAGCTTGGAACTGCGTTTAAATAAAGGTAATAAAGGTGCAGCGGTGTCGGTGCTGGGGGCGCGGGGGGGGGGGGGGGGGGGGGGGTGGGGGGGGGGGGCGGGCGGCGGGGGGAGGGGGGGGGATGGAGGTGGATGGAGGTGGAGGAGGGCTCGGGGCTCCCGCCCGGAGGACTACACTTCCCGGTACGCGTCGCGCCCCCGCCTGCGCCTCCCGGCGTGCCCCGCGCGCTGCCTCCCATTGGCTGCTCGGAGCCCCGCCCCGCCGGGGGTTTGGCGCGAGATCTCGCGATTGGCGCCGGCGCCGTGAGACGCAGCCAATGGAGCGAAGGGGGCGGGGCCTGTCCGGGTCGGTGGCGGGAATTGCGGAGCTGAGGGCTGAGTTGGCGCGAGAGGGTGAGCGGGGGCTGCGATGGGGGCGCGTGGGGAGCGGGGCGGCGCGGGATCGGGGGGCAGAGCTGCGCGGCGGGGCCGGCAGAGGAGGGCGGCGGCTCGGGGTCGCGCCGTAGGGCCGGGGCGCGTGGAGCGGGGCCGGGAGCCGTGAGAGGGGCGGCAGCTGAGTGCTCGGGGTCGGGCCGCTTCCCGCCGTGACCGCTTCCATCCCCGCAGGGCTGCAGCCATGTCCGTCGCCCGCCCGCAGCGCCAGGCCACCATCGCCTTCCCCCGGCGGCGCGGTGCCCGCTGCGGTGCCGCTGCCCCGTCCAAGACCCCTCCGGCTGAGCCCGACCCCGCGGACCCCGCTGCCTGGCGCCTCTCGCCGGTGTCCCCGCGCCCCGCAGAGCCCAGCCCCGTCACGCCGTCAGCCCGGAGCACGGCGCTGCCCCTGAGCCCCCGCAAACGCCTGGGTAAGAAACGTTCACCTCCTGAGGCCCCCCGGACGGGGCAGCCCCAGCCCTGGGCACCCTGATGTGAGGCTGCGGCGCCCCGGTGGCACAAAGCTTCCCTTCTGCAGGCGATGACAACCTGTGCAATGTGCCCCACGCCACGCCCTGCTCCCCGGCCAAGCGCTGCAAGGAGAACCGCGGCTGCCGAGTGCTCTTCAGGGACCCCACGGCCTCCCCAGGAAAGCAGAACGCTCCAGGGCTGCCCGTGCTGCAGCGGGGGCAGGAAACGCCGCAGGGCTCAGGGCGCAGCGCAGGACCCACCCGCAGCCGCCTCTTCAGGCAGGAAGGTGGGTGTGGGTGGCAGAGGGACGTGTCCCTAAAGCTGGGGATGGCCTCTGCCCGTCGCCCGCCCTCATCCCCCTCGTTTTTCGCACCCCTGCCACAGGCACGTGCTACCAGCAGGCGAAGCGTGCGCTGCATGCGGCGCTGCCCGAGCGCCTGCACGGCCGTGAGCAGGAGGCGGCCGCCATCCGGCAGTTCCTGCGGGAGCACGTGGCTGCACGCCGCCCTGGCAGCCTCTACATTGCAGGAGCGCCCGGCACCGGGAAAACGGCGTGTGTGAGCTGCGTGCTGCGTGACTGCAAGGTGTGTGAGCATCCCATAACGCCGCCCCTGGGGGCTCGGGGTCCGTCCCGTGGCCTTAACCCTGGTTCTGGTGTGGGCTTTGGGATCTCATCCCGTTCTCCCGGTGAGGTCTTTGGGTCCTGCCCCCTAACTCTGACTCTGCTCCTGGGGGTGGGCTCAGGGTCCAGTTGCCTGTCCCAGACTCTGCTTATGGAGAGCTTTGGGTCTGTCCTCTTCCCTTAATCCAGTTTCTAGGGTGGACTTTAGGGCCCCTGGTCCTTGGAAGAGTTTGGGAAGAATCTCATCCCCTGCCCCTGACATCGCTCCTGACTGTGGGTGGGTTTTAGGGTCCCCTACTGTTCTCCTCGGGTGACTTTTGGGATCCCATCTGCTGCCCCTAACTGCACTCCTGGTCTCTGCAATGCCTCCTGCAAGAGGCTCAGAGTGAGCACATGGGGCTCTCCTATGGGACTTCACAGGGTGGGCATTGGGATGCTGTCACCCTCGTGTGACACTGCCCCATCCCCACAGGACGAGCTGGCGGGCAGCCGCAGCGCGGTGCTGAACTGCATGGCGCTGAGCAGCGCCCACGCCGTGTTCCCCGCGGTGGCAGAGCAGCTGGGGCTGCCCACAGCCGGGGCAGGCAGCAGGGAGCTGGCACGGCGGCTGGAGCGGGCGCTGACGACCAAGGGACCCATGCTGTGAGTCACCTCCTGGTTGGGGGGAGGGGACACGACTGGGGTGGGCGTCCCAGTGTCCCCAGCGGGGCCGTGGGCTGACCGTGTGCCCCGCAGGCTGCTGGTGCTGGACGAGATGGACCAGCTGGGCAGCAGGGCGCAGGATGTGCTCTACACCATCTTCGAGTGGCCGCGGCTGCCCGGCTCCCGCCTGGTCCTCATCGGTGAGCGCGCGCCCCCAGCCCTGGTTTATATATATAAATCAGGGGCCCCACAGCCCCAAACCCAGAGCCCCTGCCTTCCTCACCCCGCTGCGCATCGTAGGGTTGGCCAACGCTCTGGATCTCACCGAGCGCCTGCTGGCGCGCCTGCACGCCCCCCCGCTGCCCGGCCCCCGCCTGCTGCGCTTCGCCCCATACGGCCGTGAGCAGCTGGCTGCCATCCTGCGCGGCCGCCTGGAGCAGCTGCAGGGCGGCCCCATCCTCGAGCCCAGCGCCCTCCAGTTCTGCGCCCGGAAAGTGTCGGCTGTGTCCGGGGATGCGCGCAAAGCGCTCGATGTCTGCAGGTGGGTGTGGGGCTGTGGGGGCTTTTCTGAGCCGCACCGTTCGGTGATGCTGGGTTGGTCCCAGCCGTGCTGCGCAGCCCCCAGAGCTTTCTGCTGTGGAGCTTCCCCACTTCTCCCAGCCAGGGATGTGGGGAGCACGCAGCTGTGTGATGTGCTGGGCAGAGCACGGTGTTGCGGCGCGGTCTGGGGGGTCTGAGCCCACCTTTGGGTGCTGATGGGGCTGTGCCCTCAGGCGTGCCGTGGAGCTGGTGGAGCTGGACGTGCGGAGCCAAACCCTGCTGCAGCCACTGCCTGGTGAGTGAGTGACCCCTGGAGGGGGCGCTGACCCTGTGGTCCCACCTGGGGGCTCTGCGCCTCTGCCCATCTCGCAGCGCCTGAAACCCTTCTGCCGCTCTGCAGGTGACCCCACAGCCGCGCCGAGCCCCGTCCCCAAGAGAGTGGGGCTCCCGCAGGTGTCCCGTGTCCTCTCAGAGGTGTTTGGGGACAGGATGGCAGCAGGCAGCCCTGGTGCTGGCGATGCATTCCCGCTGCAGCAGAAGGTCCTCGTGTGCTCCCTGCTGCTGCTCACCCGGCACCTGCGCACACGCCAGGTCACGCTGGGCAAGGTGAGTGGTGGCCGTGACCTCAGGGTCCCCAGTGTCCTCTGGGTTCTCCACAACCTCCATCATCCCTGAAGTCCTCTGTGTCCCTGAGGTCCCCAGCGTCTCAGGGTTCTCTGTGGTCCCTATGATCTCCAGTGTCCCCTTTGGGGTCCCCACGGTACCCACTGTTCCCTTGAAGCCCCTGGGCTCCCCAGCGTCCTCTGGCTGCACTAACACCCCCTGCCCCACAGCTCCACGACGCCTACAGCCGAGTGTGCCGGCAGCAGCAGCTCCCTGCAGTGGACCAGGCGGAGTGCCTGTCCCTGGTCACCCTGCTGGAGTCCCGCGGTGTGCTCGAGCTGAAGCGTGCCAAGGACACTCGCCTTACCAAGGTAGGGGAGCAGCCCTGGGGACGGACAGCCCCTGCATGGCGGCCCCGAGGTGCTGAGCACTGTGTCCCCCCTCCAGGTGTCCCTGAAGGTCGAGGAGGAGGAAGCACAGCACGCACTGCAGGACGCCACGCTGGTGGGCAGCATCCTGGCACGAGGGCTGCTCTAAGCCCCCTCGGCCCCACGGCAGCTCAGCGGTTTGGTGGCCCCATGGGTGGGTGGTGGCACTGCAGATGCTCGGCGCAATTCCCACCCTGGAGGCAATCGTATGCAGTTTTATCATTGTTATTTTATTAATTGCTGTTAACGGGAGGGTGGTGTCTGCTGCAGCCCCCCCACAGTCCCCCCGGCCTTGGTGAGTTCCTCCACTGGCTGTGGGGTTGGCTCCATCAGAGCTGTGTGGGGATGCCGAGGTGGGGGGGGTGCCTGGGGGTCCCCCCATCTCCTGGCCCTAATAAAGTCCTCCTTAATTGTGCTGCTGCTGTGGGCTTTGTGTCCCCATCCTGTGGGCGCAGGGCTGGCCCCGCTTGGCCTCTCAGCCCCCTCACCCCCCCAGCTCCTCCACTTGTGTTAAATAACGGCAGCGCTGACCTAATTCTGCAGCTTCCCAGCTGCGGGGGGGCCTGGGGCTGCAGCGCTGGGGAGGGGGGCTGCAATCTCTGGGTGCCCCAATCCCTGCCATTGCTCTTCCCCATCCAGACACTGTCCCCCCACTTCTGACATTCGTCCCTCCC